TAGGTGAGTCGCCCTGAGGATACAGCAGGGAGTTTTTTTATGTCAAAGGAGATGAATATTTACTAAGTTGGGAAAGGTCTCAAAGGGAGCAGGCAGAGTCTTCTGGGGGTTGGGGCCTGCTCCGCCCTCACGCAGGACCAGGGAGTTGGGGACTGTTTTCATTCTCCCTGGAATGGTCAGGGTGGGAAGGGCATGGTTTCTACTATGTTAGAGAGTGCAGAATGTATTTGTGGGTGAAGTTTGGGTCAGCGTCTCCTGCACATTGGAACTCACCAGTTTTGGCCGGTGGGCTATTCTCACACTCCACACATCCCATGAGAGCAGCTCACATGGGATGTGCAGAAGGTAAACAAGAGTAGACCAAAGTCCCCACTCCCCCCCTTCTCTTATCTGACTGTCTACCTACTGTAATAGTTTTAATACAGAAATCACTAAAGGTTGTACAATCATCACTAATTCCAGAATGTTCCATCACCCCAAAAGAAGCCCTCATTAGCAGTTATTCCCCATTCCTTCTTCTCCCAGCCCCTGGGAGCCACTAATTTACCTTCTGTCTTTGTAGAGATGCCTATTCTGCACATTTCATATAAGCAGAATCATACATGCATTCTTTTGTGACTGGCCCCTTTCATTCAGCATGTTTTCAAGGTTCATCCATATTGTAGCATGTATCACTACTTCATTCCTTTTAATGGCTGAATAATAGTCCATTGAATGGATATATCACAACTTATATATCCACTCAACAGTTGATGAACATTTGAGTTTTTACACTTTTTGGTTGTTATGATAATGCTATTATAAAGATTTGTGTACATGTTATCTGCTTTTGTAGAGTCATATGATAATTCCGTGTTTAACATTTTGGGGAATTGCCAGTCCATTTTCCAAAGCGGCTGTTGCATTTACATTTCTACCAGCAATGACTGTCCCAATTTCTCAACATCGTCACCAGCACTTAACAATTGTTTCTTTCTGATCATAGCCATCCTATTGAGTGTGAAGTGGTATCTCATGTGTGTTTCCTTTTTTTTTTTGCATTCTCCTAATGACTGATGAGGCAGAACATCTTTTCATGAGCATTTGGCTTTTTGTATATTTGTATATCTCCTTTAGAGAAATGTCCATTCAAATCCTTTGCCCACTTTTAAATTAGGTTGTCTCTTTATGTTGAGTTACATGAATTCTTTATATTTTATGGATATTAAACACGGTGATACTGTGATTTAAATAAGAATTATATATTTGGTCTTCATCCCATTTTGGGCAAAGAACTCCCCAAACCCTTGGAGTTGCCTATGTGATAAGAGTGATACAGGTGTCTTGATATTCATAACACACCCCTTTCAGCCATACCTGGGTTTATGTTAATGAGGTGACTTTTGGAAAGCAATTAAGGATGGGGTCTGGTTGCCAGGGAGCCAACCACGTGATTAGAGCCCTGAAACTTTCAGTGCCCCCCTCACCCCCACTTCCAGGGAGGGGAGCCATCTCTGGAGGTGGAATCAATCACAAATAGTCAATAATTTAATTAATCATATCTATGTAATGAGACCTCCCTAAAAACCTAAAGGGCTAGGTCTGGAGAGTTGCTGGGTAGGTGAACACATGGGGATTTGAGGAAAGTGGTCTGCTCAAAGAGCACGCAAATTCTGTGTCTGGTCCCACGTACCATGCCCTATGCATCGCCTTCATCTGGCTGTTACTGAATTACAGCCTTTTGCAACGAACTGGTAATCTAGTAGGTAAACTGTTTCTCTGAGTTCTGTAAGCTGCTCTAGCAAATTAATCAAACTCAAGGAAAGGAGTGTTGGAACCTCTGATTTATAGCAGGTAGTCAGAAACCCAGGTGACAACCTGGATTTGTGAATGGCATCCAAAGGGGGTGGCAGTCTTGTAGTACTGAGCCCTTAAGTTGTGGGGTCTTATGCTATCTCAAGGTAAACACTGGCATACCTTGGAGATACTGTAGGTTAGGTTCCAGACCACTGCAATAAACTAAATCTCACAATAAAGCAAGTCAAATGAATTTTTTTGTTTCC